ATTTAAATACGTATCGAGTGCGCGTGCATTTAACTATCTCCCGGCCTTATGACTGTACTAATAAGTAGCGACGGGATGGTGTACCTCGTAAGTAGATTCGAACTTTGACTAATTGGATCCGAACCCTCTACAAGTATTTCGGAAAATAAAAACAGTACTTCCAAGAATACTCGAACCTAAACGAGATAGATTCGAATCTTTTACGAGTACTTGAAGAGATAAAAAATGTACGTGCAAGTAGACTCGAACACTGATCGAATAGATTCGAAACTTGTATGAGTACCTAACCAAAAATTATAAGCATTATAACCATTATACGGAGTGCGTTATTTAAACCTGCTATAGAATTCCTATTTCCAAGATTCGATTCTTTCTAACATCGAACTACCTGCAAGTACGTTCTCGATACCTGCAGATACTCATTCTAGGGTTCGAAAGCAAATTGTATAAAATGATTACATTGCAAGTGTACTCGTTGAAACTTTATTCCTTATGAGTAGTAATCGAAACCCAAGAAATGAAACTTGGTTATTGAAATTAACCGGGATTCGTAAGAACATATTGAACTTGATCCCATCCCTACTAATAAGCGATGCCAGTGTTACGATAAGTACGGATAATACATTTATCAACGATTACCATAATTTAAATGTACATTGTGGTTGTATAACAACGTGATAATAAGTACAATAGCAATATATTTTATAACAATAATTTCATAATAACTATAAAAACACACGTAAAAAAGGAATAATGATAATCTGATCAACGGTCTCTTATTATATCTCGCAATAAATTCTCACGCACTCTTTAATATCAATAACAACGCGGTTCTACTGTTTTACTCCCTGTTTCCCTGTATAATCCGCTCGTTTTCCAAATCTCGAGACGATTCGACAAACACACTACGTTCACGCCATCACTCACAACACATTATTAACCCTTTCGTTACGAGCGCCGGATATAGACGGCATCCACTCGATGACCTGTGTGTACGAGCGCCGGCTATAGCCGGCATCCACGCGATGACCTGTGTGTACGAGCGCCGGCGTCAGCGTGGTACCGCTTGATCACCGGCCCCGTCTCCCAACGCACTAGAAACCGTCGATTAACCCTTTCGTTACGAGCGCCGGATATAGACGGCATCCACTCGATGACCTGTGTGTACGAGCGCCGGCTATAGCCGGCGTCAGCGTGGTACCGCTTGATCACCGGCCCCGCGATATTCTTGTTTCTTTTGTTTGTATGCACCTTGCACATCGATGGCACTTGTCATTCTTTGGTTCGTTCTTCATTTGTTTTACTCCAAAAATAAAACATGCACTGGTTCGGAAGCAATCGGGACAAGAATCACGCGTTCAGTGACGTTACTCCGGCGGCGCGATGCCTCGTTCAGTGGCGTCACTCCAGCGGAGCGGACTGCCGTAACGAAAGGGTTAAACCAATTCCACATACATCACTGAACGAATTGTTAAAAGCGACGTCGTTGTTAATGTATACGAATCCTTGCTCTTCGAATTAGAGAATCGTGAACTGACGATACGGTGTTTCGACGCTCTCGTTCTTTCTTTTAGCTGCAGAAGATTTGCACTATCTTCTGCGTAGACTATTTCTTTGCGAAATGTGACATTACCGCTGTTTATCGTCATAAGAGTATGAACGAAAGCAACAGATTATAGCGATTCATTGAATACATTTTTCTCAAAAACTAAGCCTTTCGTAAACACACTTTATTCTACATTTTCGGATAATTTTTTCATTTAGAATCACTCCCTTCCCGATTGTACAATCCTATATAATGAGGAAGAAGGGAATTTTTGCAGATTCGTTGCTTTCCTGTAAATTTTCAGATAATAAATCAGCCTTTCTTCGAAAATCTATTTTTCCCTCGGCCACCGCGCGTACGCACGCGCCACGACTTTTTCCATCTCGCTGGGCAAACTTCAAAAATACGCGAAGGTTAAGATGAAATTGTAAACAACCGTGAATATACGCGTAGTCTTTCTACTCCTTTTCCTCCTTTTTTTTTCCATCTCGTTTACGAAGTTCTTTTCAAGTTAAGAAGGAGATTTGGACGGTGATCGAGGAGGAAAAATCATGAATCATAATTCTTCGGTAACTGACACACTTTCGCGATTTTCGTTTGATGAGTGATATATTTAACACATGAGAGAGTGATCTTGAAATATCCCGCGTTTTATTACACGTACCTTATAGCAAGTAAAAATAGCAAGTAGCGATGTATGATAAAATACTTTTGCAAAGAATCGCCTTAGCTATTAATAACATTCGGTTGAAATGTATGTTGCGAATGTAAGTACATAATTGTTTTATAACAAAAGTTTCAAACAGACCCCCGGTGCTGAATACATGAATTAATAGTCGTCGCTGCTAGGCACTCTTTTGCTTCTGCTAGAATTCTAATACTTTGTAACATTTTATACTTTTTATCGTATAAACATACTCTGTTATGTGTAACGAAATGATGCGAGGATAAATAGAAAAAGAGATGATATCGTAATCGATTAAATTCCCTTCTCTCCTCAATTTTATCCAATATACATTTAAAGCACTTCCAAGATTTTAATCTGGTGGGTGCATGAAAGCTGGTGATTTAATAGTGTCAAACCTTGTCGAATTTTTCCCTTCAGTATAGCATATTGTATTTCACGCGTCTCCTTTTTATTCTAATTAAATTATTCAATTTATTGTCGTGAATTTGTCGTGAAAGAGCACAATTTCAGCAAGCAAACTTTGTCTTTAAACTTAACGTTAGACCTATATCGGATCAAATAGGTTTTCTCATCGCAACTTAGGTTGCTGTGCTCAACGTGGACAATGTTGTGTTCCTTTTTAATACATAATTACGACAATGAATTGAATCAACGTAAATTTATCGAACCAAAACAGTTTCATGCTGCGTGATTTAAATCTATCGATGCAGATTCGTCATAAATCAATTAGTGAAAAAGCTAGCACTTTACTGGGAAGCATGCCAAAAATTTCTATTCGAGTATGTGTCGTTGAAAATATAATTAATCCTGAAATTTCTAGTATTTGGCAAGCTGTCATCTTCGAGACAGGAAGCGTATAACGACAAATTTATTAATCTTCTCGGAGGAAGGAAATTAGTAAGCAGGAAATGTTCTTTCCATAGCATATCACGGAACGTAACTATTTAACGAATCATTTTAAATTTAATATTTCGAAAGGAATTCTTGTGGTTCGGTCACAATTACTTTTATATTTAATAGGGCAATTTCGGGAGAGATGGACGGGCGGGAGAAACGGACCAGGCAAGTATTTCCTACTTGAGGAACACTGAGAGCCACGTAAGACGCGTTCCACGTACAGCGGCGGACATTTACTTACGTACATGTCAAATATCAATTTTCAAATGGCACACAGCTTTCTGTGATGCATGCAAAAATATCTAAAAAATACTTTCAGAGTCTTTGAACCTTCAATGGTAGCTTACGACAAAGTAAGCACAAATCGCCTTGAATTTGTGGAATGAAGGAAACCTTACTGACGCTTCATAATAGAAGGGTTGAAAGACTCTGAAAATATTTTTTAGATATTTTTGCATGCTTCTGCAGAAATTAATATTTGACTTGCACGTAAGTAAATGTCCGCCACTGTATGGCGGATAATGTAGGAAACACTTGCCTGGTCCGTCTCTCCCGGAATTACCCTATAACAGTTCAATTTCTTAAATATAAAGAGATTATGTGATTTAGTTATAAAATTTCATTGACAAATTGTTCCAACAAAAACCAGAAACCTCGATTTCCTAACTTCTTTCACATTGTTGATATTAGACAAATATTTGTTAATTGAAGGATTACCTCGTTTCACTTTATTACTTTTTTAGTATAAATTGAATGGAACCTTTGAACGACGGTGTCCACCTGCGTACCTACCTGGAACATTTTGTGAAACATTTCCGTTTTAACACTTCTTATTCGTGAGACTTTTTCTCAGGAAAATCTTTACATAATTCAATTTCACATTTAACAACATACAAAGCTTTAGTTATATAAAAATCTACGTACGGTATAACTGTTTACGTGTGAATTTACCATAATCCAAGTAAATATGTCGCACTGTTCATTTTATATTTTATTATTTAAGAGATTAGTTGAAATAAATCCAAGTTTTATGTAATTTACTTATTCGACAGTCGTGGATCACCGAATAACTTTACTCCAATTCCTCTGCGCTGATAATAATCGTGAAATGAAAAGTAACCAGTAGAAATACTTCAAAGCACGTACGGGAATATTCTATTTCGGAGATTAAACCATTTTTCACATTTTTCCACTTTTCGAATGTTTCGGCTCTTTAACACACTTGAATTTGTATTCCTAATATATTTCGGCGAAATTTGAACAACTTACAACACTATAGGAGTTCGGAGAATGGCGCTCAACTTATTGTGCAGAGATGGAAAACATTGAACGAATTTTTCTCTCCATCTCCCGAAATTTTGTTCAAATTGGCGGCATCGATA